ACTTACTGCTGAAGGACCAGTTGGAGTACAGACACAACGCACAATGTGCACACTTGATAACAAACATGTGGTTGTGTGTAATATGAATCTTCACATCTTGTGCTGAAGCAGTGTCCTGTGTGCAGGCTACAGGGATGAGATGAGCTCACTTAAGGAACACTCAGTGACTGGACATGAGGGACTGGGGCCAAGGTCTTACAGGAAATGGAGCACAAGAAATTCAGGCAGGAGTTTGTGAGTTAGTAAGTTATGATGTTCCAGGGCTGGGAAGATAGCTCAATGGTCTAAGCTCCTGCCTGACAAGTGCAAAGACCAGGGTTTGATCACATGCAGATATGGAAGCTCAACAGTAGGACCAGCATTGGAGGTCTGAACACAAAACTGCACTCTGCACACAGGTCAGTAAGCCAAGAGGTAGGCACTGTTGCTCCCACCCTCTGCCCCCACTCTCCCACCACATCCACTGCCTCTCCCTGCTTTGTACACTCCCAGAGCTCTGCCACATGCATGACCATCAGAGCCACAGAAGTGCTCCCGGACAGCCCGCTCTCAAGCCCCAAAGCCCCTCTCCTCTCTGTTGCCCATGTTCTCTACACAGGATACCCTCACCACACTGTCCCCAGCCCCCAGACAAGCACCCTCCTCCTCCCGATCATGCTCCTCCTCCACTGGATTCAGCATTCTAGTCTCTGTCCTTCCCATGGCTCATCTGCTCTCCAGCTGTCTGTGCTGGGTCACATGGTCCCATCACAGGGCCACAGCTGTAGAGCTACTCAGTAGATATCAATGTGGAATTGCTACTTAAATGAAGGGTAGCCCCCTTTCCTCACCTGACCCCAGGGTCTTGGTCTCCAGCTGTTCTGCTGGCCACTGTGTTCACCCCATTTCCTTCCTTGGAGCCTTATCCCTTCTTGACAGCCAGGGCTGAACATAGATGACTTCCAGAAGCAGAAAAAATTTCCTGACAGCTCTGTCACCCTCGTGCTCAGAGGGACAGCAATAGTTAACTGATTGTTCAGCCAAGAAGGCTGAAGAGAGGATGGGAGACTTGGCACTAAGGGAGGTCACCACACCACCCACTGTGAGTCAGGGGCAGCCTTTGACATCAGCAGCAGCATCTGCCTCAGTGCTCCGGGCCACCCATACCACCTCCTCCTTCTGAGGCATGGCCATCACTCTGCACAGGATGCCAAGAGCATGGCCTTGAGCATTATCTGCGTGGCCTGTCCCATAATAACCACTGCCCCCTGCTCAGCGCCCCCCCCGCAAGACACGTGTGCACAAGGCTGCACGTGTGCAGGGCACCTGCCATGCACCTCTACTCTTCCTTGCCTTTAAAAGGAAAGATTGAATCAGATGCCTTTCTGGAGTCTTCGAGGGCTGAAGATGGGGCTTACAGGCAGGTTCCTAAGTCAAAGATGAGCTGGTGGCCCAGCCCTTTCCCCAAATGGTGGAAAAGGAGTGAATGCAGGCTGTGTCCCCTAGAGCTGAGTGCCAGGGTGAGGCTGGGTTTGAAAGCTGACATGGATATGGTATCCTCCTACCACATGTACATTAGGACCTGGGGGTAACCCTGTCGTGGTACTGGGAGGGTCTCTCTCTCAGAGGCACAAGCCACTCCTCCAGGTTAGGGTGATCAGAGGAGGCTTCACACAAGAAGGGGGTATGGTGGGCCTTGAGGACCAACCCATCCATTCAGCAGCTGCTGCTCACAGGACCCCTGACTGCTTCACCACGGATGAAACCAGGCTATAGGACTCGCCTGCGCCCCCTCCGGGCATGACCCAGTTCTGCAGGACCCTGCCCTTTTGTGCCATCTACAGAGGGGTGGGGGACGAGAGTACATCCACTGTGGGGCTGGCTTTCCCAACCTCCTTGCAGTGCTGAAGGACACAGGCCGTTTGCACACAGGAAGCAAGGCCTGGGCCAGGGGCAGATCTTGTGTGAGTCTTTCCACGTGCAATATTCTTGACAGATGGATCTGCCTTTTACTCAAACTCAAGGTCAGCAAAGCAGTGTGTAGTGGCCATATTGGCAATGACAAAGATTGACACACTTAACAGAGGAGCTCTAGAAATTCACCCTCCCTAGGGAATCTAAGGGATCAACCTGCTGATGAGAAAGTCCTATTCATTCCTCCAGAGTCCTGACTCATTGTAGTGGATGGCTACTGGTGGTCAACTTGTTACACCCAGCTGAACGGAACTAGTGTGGTGCTGGGCTTGGGAGGCCCACTTGAAATTGTTGCCAGCAGCATAAGAGGGAGAAAGGGAGAAGCTGATATGAGGCTGTTAGGGAAACTGGCTGGAGAAGCTGTTGGAAGCTGATGGCTCTCTTGGGCTGTTCTGCTCGAGGACCTTGTCATGCTGCCTTTTGTGGTGAACTTGGCTGCTCTTGTTGGAGAAGGAGCTCAGAACCTTGTTCCCTTTGCAAAAACCCCAAACCATGACACCTATCTTCTCTAAAAGGTGTGTATAGACCTGCTCATCACCGTCTCTGCTAAACTAAAGACCTGGAGGTATTGGTGTTGTCAAAGTTACAGCTGTAAACACAGAACTCTGAACTCAATGCAGGTGCTTCTGGATAATTTGTAAAGTCTTCAGTGATCCAGGAGGAGACATTCTTTAGACAAACACCCTTGCTGCCTAGACTCTTTTTCCATATCCTCAAATACTTATTAAATCTCTCATCCTGTGTGATTCCCCTCTTGAAACTTGCCTGATGTCCTCCTTCACAGCATACTGTGATCTAAATAAACTCCCTTCTTCTCTGCACTGCTTGTCCTTTTCCAGCCTGTCTCCCGGCCCTCAGTACACTGTGTTGCATGGCCCAGGGCAGCTGCTCGGAGGAACTCTGTCCCTGTGCCTGAGCAGTGGTGTGCCTGGGACTCACAGAGGTGCTCATCACTTTGTGAGCCTGCTTTGTGAGTACTTGCTGAACACTGCAGGCCCCCCATGTTATTAAGACTGGGTGGACCCCCAGCACTCTGGCTTTTCCACCTTTCTATATGTACCAAGCCCCATAGCACAGCTTGCCTAGCTGATCCCTGGGAAAACCTGTAGGGTGTGTGGAACAGGCCCCTTTGAATCATCCTTTGCTCCTCTGAGCTCAGTCATTGTCTTGACTGACTCCATTTTGCCCTCTGGCATGATCTTTCTCAAAGTCCAACCCAGCTTATCTCACATTCCAGAAACTGGAAATCCAGCTTGCTTACACCCTGGGACAGACCCTGGCTCCACCAGATGCAACCTTCTCAGGACTAATACCAAATTGCCCCTCCATCAGCAAGGATTTTTACAGGTCAGGTCAGTGCAAACCAGCTGTGAGACAATGTTCAACGAGACCTGAGATGATGATCAACTAGATGACAGCTACGTCACCCCTGCTAAACTATGGCCCCACTTTAGGGGCCCTGCCCCTTAGCTCACTTCTTTAGGGGCTGGGGAGATGGCTCAGTAGAATAAGCACTTCCCTGACAAGTGCACTGGCCCAAGTTCAATCCCCGGTTCTGAAAAAAAAAAAGACCAAAAATAAAAATCAGAGCAGGCCCACTTTGTCTTGCTTCGGTAGAATCCTAGCGCTATTATCAGCCCCCACAGCTAGGCCTGAGGACACTGGTTCCTGTTCCTTGCCAGTGTGGACATACTGAAGGAATTCCTATCTTGTTCCACAATCCCTTATCTCTGGACTCTCAAGGACAGAGAAGAAAGACCCAAATCTAACAGGACTCCTAAGTCAACCTCTGGCCTAGGACTCTAGAAATAGTGCACTGTGGCCCAGCCAAGGTACCTCTGCTTTGGGAACTTATGAGCCAAGCTTCAACCCTCAGGGTCATCCTTGCCCCAGCATAAATCCTACAGAGAACTCACTCAATGTGGGGCTTTGATAAAGAGGTTTTCTATCAGTGGATAAGAAAATAAATGAAGGGCTGGTGAGATGGTTCAGTGGTCTAAAGCACCTAGTTAGAACAAGCTTAGCAAAGCACAGGGACCACGGTTTGATCCCCCAGCACCACATGCCAGCCAGCCCCGCCCCCTGGTGGGCTGAGCTGGGCACACACACACACACACACACACACACACAAACACACATAAATAAAAAAATAAATTAAAAAAAAGAAAAGAAATGAAGAGCTGTATGCACAAGGTGTCCAAGGGGCCATCAAAGGAACCATGTATAAGGGCCGGGGAGATGGCTCAGTGGAATAAGTGCTTCCCTGGCAAGCGCAAGGGCCTGAGTTCAATCCCCGGTTCTGCCAGAAAAACAAAACAAAACAAAACAAAACAAAAAAACCCAAAGGAACCATGTATAGATGGGCCAAAGGCCAAAAGACCTGTGTGATTGTCCCAGCCTCAACAGTGATCAGTTGTTTGACCATGAACAAGTTGTTTCTATCTTTTGGACATCAGGAGCCTCATTTCTTAAGGTCAGGGGTGGGCAAAACTGCCCCAGCACCTTGTTTCCTTTGTACTCTGTAGATCCTGCTTCCTTTTCTGGACCACACTGCTCTGACCAGGGCACCTGTGGCCCCCCCTCCCTGGGTTGGGGGCATTCTCTGCTGCATGCAGGCTTCAAACCTGTTGAGTCTGGAGTTTGATGACAGGGCCTGAAATATGCACTTTCAACTTCTAAGAGGCACAGTGTGTCCTCACTAAGCAGCTCCAGCTCAGCTGCCACTGTTTCTCCCTCTTCATTGAACGCTGAATCGGCAGGAAGCTTTCCACTCCCTTCTGCAAATCCCACTCCCCCACCCCAAAAGGCCGGAGCAGCAGCATGAGGCAATCTCTCTATCCTTGACCCTTTCCTCCGCACAGCAAGCAATGGCTTTTTTTTTTTTTTTTTTTTATCTCCGGGGAATGATGCATAGCCTTCAGCCAGGGGCATTTAAGGAGCAGAGCACATGGTGCAAGTCATAGCTGCAGGACACAGGCAGACCTCGAGAGGTTCTGGAAGCCACGCTGAGCGGAGCAGCAGCAGCAGCAGCGCTACCACATCTACTAGTCACAATGCTTCTTGCAACTTTTAAACTGTGTGCCGGGAGCTCCTACAGACATGTGTGCAACATGAAGGGTGAGTGCCAGGCGCTGAGCTGAGGTCAAGCTCTCAGGAAGCAAGGGTCTGTATAGGGGGAAAGCCTTCCTGTGGGTGAGCCCGGGGAATTCTCTTCCCCGAGAACCTCGGCTTTCCCCTTTGGAGAACTGAGCTGGATACAAAATGCCAGTCTCTCCCAAACTTTTCTCCTTTTTGGCCTCCCGGCTAGGCTCCAGTTGTTTTTATTATTTTTATTTTATTTACATTTTTTTGTGGAACCAGAGATCGAACTCAAGCTCTTGTGCTTGCCAGGCAAGTGCTTATTTTACTGAGCTATCTCCCCGGCCCCTCCCATTGTTTTTAGACTGCTCCTGACTGCTTCCTCCAGGGCTGGACTAGGCACCTTCCAAGGTCTGTAAAGTCCAGGCCACAGTAGTAGAGGGAGAAGAAAGTCTCGACTCCAGCAAGCCTGAGCCACAGTTAGGGAAGGGAGCAGGAGGAGCCAGGGAGCAAGCAAAGAACAAGTGAGCAGGATGGGAGCACAGCGTGCAGCCAGGGGCAGCAGAAACCAGTTTCTGTGGGCTACTTTTCCAGAGCTCACTAGGACAAAAGGCCACTGCCACTGAAGGGAGAAAAATCCGAGCTGCAGGAGTCTTCTCCATTTACCGTGGCAGAATGTGATTGGAAGACCTGCAGCCAACAATTGGGCCATCCTGGCTACACCCACAGGAGCAGGCTACCTCAGGCTAGTGGCACCCTGGGTAGCTGTGTGGGCACAGGACCTTCCCCACTGGCAAGTGCCTGCTCAGTATAGCATTCTTGTTTCTTTAGAAGTAGAATTTTCCTGACTGAATAGAACTTCTGCAGCAGACCATGGTCAACTCCTCCAGCAAGGCCAGATCTGTCCACCCAGATGGAAGCAAACTTCTTCCCGGAGGTGGCCTGTGTAGGCAATGTGTACTGAACTGGCCACTGGGGTGCTGCCCTCCTAGGAGTCTGTTCCTAGCAGGAATGGTCCCTCTGAGCAGCTTTCCAGCTCCTTGGAAACAGTCTCACTCCTTCCCTACAGGGCTGAGGCACCAGGCAGTACTGGCCATTGGCCAGGAGCTGACCCGGAGAGTGCGGGCAGAGCCTGCCCCAGGTATGTGGATTAACCAGGTCCAGCGTCGGAACTCACTGCTGGGTAAGTCCTTCAGTTTCTGGGCTTCTGGCAGGGGAGGCTATAAGGATGCCAGTGGGTAGCTGAGGCTCTGATCCCTTCCTACCCTTCCCCACCTTATTTTGAGACAGGACCTTTTGGTACTGGTCCCAAAGGAGGGGCACATCCAAGGGAGATCTAAGGGATGGCAGCTGGTGGGGGACCATGACAGGGAAGAACGTCATCTTTCTCTCCATGGCTGGTTGTCCAGGTTCTCGGCTGGAGGAGCCTCTGTACAGTGACCAGGAGCTGGCCTACATCCAGCAGGGGGAGGAGGCCATGCACAAGGCCCTGGGCATCCTCAGTGACCAGGAGGGCTGGAAGAAGGAGAGCCAGCAGGTGAGGGTACTATAGGAAGCCTGCAGCTGGCCATGCCACCCTGCAACCTCAGGGCATCTGGCCTCCTGCAGTAGTCACTTGGCACATGGAGTTTTAACTTCATATATATATA